TAAACACATGTAAAGATTACATGATAGCTGTAGGACACATATACAATACTAGCTTTCAGGAATCTAAGGCAGGAAGATTTTGAGTTCAAAGTCAGTATAGGTAACTTGTCTCAAACAAAATAAAATGGGTAAGGCTTATAGCTTAGTGATGACAACTTTGCCTAATATATATGAGGACCTGGATTCTAGTTCAACATTATCAAGAAGTGGGTAGGAGGGAGATAGGCAGGTGTGCTGGCATATTCCTATAACCCTAGCATTTGGGAAGCTGAAGTAGAAGGACCAAGATCAAGGGAGCCCAAGTTTCACAGAGAGACTCTACTTCAAAAACAGATAGATAGATAGATGGACAGGCATGTGAAATACATATTGAAAATAGAGATTAGATGATGGACACAACACAGGTGAGTGGGTGGACAGTTAGCCTCACACTAACAGAGGGTTTCTCAGGCCAGCACTGAGAGTATCTGGGGGCTGTCTAATACACTATAAGATCTTTAGTAGTATCTGCTACCTATCCACTAGATGTCAGGAGTGCTCCATTCTCCAGTGTAACAGAGAAACCTACCAAATTACACTCCTAAAGGTCCCTAGAGAGGATGGATATGTGGATACTGCCATAATCATGCCAGTTGTAAGCTAAGGACATTAACAGCTGCAGTGGGCATCATCTTACCTCTGCTAAGTCCCATACAATCAAATCCAGGTATGATAATTTAAAAACTTACCAAAAAGTGCTAAGTACTGGGGACCCCCCAAAAAAACCATCACCTCCCCCTAGAAGCAATCATGAATATCAATATACCCCTAAGTCCCTTCTTTCACTTCTAAGCCTACAAGATAGGGAATGAGGAACAAGCACCCCATGTTATGTGCCATCTACTCACTTGTCCTCTGTGACTCTAGGTGAGGGGACTTTGGGAAGCAGCTTCCTCCGCTGCTGAGCTTCCTCCAGAAGGTACTCGTCTTTGGGGAAAATTCCCTCCATCAGATCCATGGTGGTTTTGATCTTCACACTGGGGTCCAAGATGTCAGCCAATGACTTGTCCTTTCCCACAATCTCTCTGGCTAATTCTTCAGACTTCAAGTCATCCTCAGTCTTCTCCTTGGCCTTCCCATAGTTGAGTGAGGGAGGGGAAGAACAGCTATCTCTGACAGGAGGTGCAGGGGTGCTGGGAGGCCGGGGCTCTGGAGGGCGGGCTCTATAAGGGGCTTCCACCTCCTGTCGTGTGTACACACAGAAGCGGGGAGTAGCACTGCTCCGATGTACTCAATGTCTTGATCTGGTCCCTCTCCAGCCCACTGGGCAGGGCAGGCAGCTCGGCTGGGCATGCGAGACTCTGGCGGCTCTCCTTCTCGGGCTGGCTTTCTGAGTGTACAATTTTTATGGGCACCATCTTCACAGTGGTGTTGTTGTCCATCACCCGCTCAATTCTGCAAAGACAAGGGCTGTCCTCTGAAATCTTGACATGTACAGATTCCCACCCACGATTCATACAGGGATCCCAACACAAAGACCCACTGTCAACCAGCCAAACAGAAAGACAAGGCAGAGGTTGGAAATTGTCCTCATCTGACCCCTCACATGGTCTCCGGATGCCTAGCAGTCCAACTCAAATTCTGCCACACACCTATAGGCACTGGAGGGAGAGAGAGGTCCTGGATGACATGAGATATTTAATATTCATTTTTGCTTTCTAATGAAATTGGGCATTGAACCCAGGGACTTAGGTGAAGACAAGTGCTCTATCACATGAGCTATAGCTAACATTCCTTGATTTCGTGTTTTTATTCTGAGGGCAATGCAAAAAAAAAATGCATCAAGCCCCATTTGTTAAATCTCCCTTTGTAGGAAAAATCATCAATGGATAGAATTACTACAAGTCTAAAAGTAGGTTGTTGTATACCATCAGGTGCCTGGGTGGCCTTCCATGTCCCTGGAAAACTTCTATTGGGAGTTGCTGTGCTTGGAATCATTGCTGAGTACCTCCACCCATGAGTCCCTCTCAGGAGCTTTGTCATGTGCACTGCATCCCATGTTCCATGTGTCTCCCACATATTAACACCTGAAGCCACCCTTACAAAGACATGCCACTGTAAGGGATACCCTGCTGTACACAGGGAATTCACTTGTTCTGTTTTAGTGTCAGTGATTTACCCAGGGCAAACATGTTTTAAAAACGACAAGTTTTTAGCTAGGCATAGTAACTCATGCCTGTAATCCTAGCACTAGGGAGGCTGAGGCAGGAGGACTGCTGAGTTTGTGGCTAGTCTGTGATAAACAGCAAATAGATTCTCAAAAAAGCAAAAAAGAAAACTAGCATTCACTGGGACAAAAAGCCACTTCCTAGATTCACACAGGTCTTCAGCCCCAATGTAAGACACTCTGTTTTGCTATGAAGCCCACTGTGTTCACTATAGTTCTAATGACTTGAGAAGCTATAGGCACCCTAAGCTGACTGGCATATGAAAATGCTATCACATAGGTCATCTTATTGCTTTTCCTATTGCTATGATAAGAACGTTTATGTGCACCCAAATTCCTAGGCTGATTTTTTTTTGAGACAGGGTCTCACTATGTAGACCAGGCTGGCCTCAAACACACAGGAGCAGCCTCTGCCTCTTGAGTGCTGTAATTAAAGGCGTGTGCCACAATGTATGGCTTCCTAGGTTGAAATTTAATACCCTAGGTATGGTCTTAGAAGATAGAGCCTTAGAGAAGTGGTATGTTGAAAATGGAGCCTCATGGATGGTATTAATGTCTTTATAAAAGAACGTTACAGAGTTTCCTGCCTCCTCTACATATGAAGACATAACAAGAAGGTGCCATCTATGAAACAGGTTTCTGAATCTGCCACACTTTGACCTTGGTCTTCCAGTCTCCAGAAACATGAGCAAGCCATCTCTGTTGTTTCTAAGCCAATTAGCCCATGGGATTATATTAAAGCAGAAACTACCAGACTAGGACACCTTCTGTCCAGATCCCTAACAATGCTATTAATTGAAAGATGTTTAAATGATACCATTTAAGACATAAAACACAGCTGAGGCATACACGTAAAGCTGTGGATTCAACACCATCACTGGAGACTGTGCTTGTTTTTTTTTTCTTGTGGTTGTTAATGCCATACAAGCTAACATCTTCTGGGAAGAAAGAAGTGCAATTGGAAAATGCCTCCATCAGACTGGCCTACAGGCAAGTCTGTGGGGCATTTTCTTGATTAATTTGATGTGGGAGGGCCCAGCCCACCGTGGCAGGTGGTCCTGGGTTGTATGAGAAAGCAGGCTGACAAAACTGTACAATGGGAAAAAGAAAGCATCTTCAACAAATGGTGCTGCCATAACTGGATGCCAACATGTAGAAGACTGCAAATAGATCCATATCTATCGCCAAGCACAAAACTCAAGTCCAAGTGGATCAAAGACCTCAACATAAATCCAGTTACACTGAACTTGATAGAAGAGTAGGAAGTAGTCTTGAACGCATTGCCATACGAGACCACTTCCTAAATACAACACCAGTAGCACAGACACTGAAAGCAACAATTAGTAAATGGGACCAACTCAAACTGAGAAGCTTTTGCAGGGCAAAGGACATGGTCAATAAGACAAAATGACAGCCTACAGAATGGGAAAAGATCTTCACCAACCCCACATCTGACAGAGGGTTGATCTCCAAAATATATAAAGAACTCAAGAAACTAGACATCAAAATACCAAACAATCCAATTAAAAATAGATTACAGAGCTAAACAGAGAATTCTCAAGAGAAGAATCTCAAATAGCCAAGAGACATTTAAGGAATTGCTCAACATCCTTGCATCAGAGAGGTGCAAATCAAAACAACTCAGATACCATCTTACACCTGTCAGAATGGTTATGATCAAAAACACTGATAACAGCTTATGCTGGAAAGGATGTGGAACACTTTTGGTGGGAGTGCAAACTTGTACAGCCACTTTGGAAATCAGTATGGTGGTATCTCAGAAAATTGGGTATCAATCTACCTCAGTACCCAGCTATACCACTCTTGGGCATAACCCAAGGAATGCTCAATCATACCAGAAGGACACATGCTCAACTATGTTCATAGCAGCATTATTTGTAATATCCAGAACCTGGAAACAACCTAGATGCCCCTCAACCAAAGAATGGATAAAGAAAATGTGGCACATATATACAATGGAATACTACTCAGCAGTAAAAAACAATGACATCATGAAATTTGCAGGCAAATGGATGGAACTAAAAAAATATCATCCTGAGTGAGTTAACCCAGAGTCAGAAGGACAAACATGGTATGTATTCACTCATAAATGGATACTAGATGTAAAGCAAAGGATAACCAGACTACAACCCACAGCTCCAGAGAAGCTAGCTAACAAGGAGGATCCTAAGAGGGACACATGGATCGCAATGGAGGGTAGAGGATGGGGGATGAGAACATAAGGGAATGGTATGGTAGAGCTGGAACAGGGACAGAGTGGGAGAGCAAGGAAAGAGATACCATGATAGAGGTAGATATCATGGGAATAGGGAGAAACAGAGTGCTAGGGAAGTTCCCAGGAATCCACAAGGATGACCCCACCTTAGATTACTAGCAATAGTGGAGAGGGTGCCTGAACTGGCCTACTCCAGTAATCAGATTGGTGAATACCCTGTCATCATAGAGCCTTCATCCAGTAACTGATGGAAGCAGATGCAGAGATCCACAGACAAACACCAAGCTGAGCTCCAGGAGTCCAGTTGCAGAGGGAGAGAAGAGGGATTCTATGAGCAAGGGGCATCAAGAGCATGATGGGGAAACCTACAGAGACAACCAAACCAAACTAGTGGGAACTCATGAACAGCAGACCAATAGCTGTAGAGCCTCCATGGAACTGGACTAGGCCCTATGCATAGTCGAGATACTTGTTTAGCTTGACCTGCTTAAGGGTCCCCCTGGCACTGGTATCAGGATCCATCCCTGGTGCATGAGTGGGCTTTTTGGAGCCCAGTGCCTATGGTGGGACATCCTACACAGCCTTGGTACAGGGTGAGGGAATTGGACCTGCCTCAACTGAGTGTACCAGGCTCTGCTGTCTCCCCATGGGAGGCCTTGCCTTGGAGGAGGTGGGAATGGGGGTTGGGCTGGGAGGGGAGGCTGGGGGGCAGGAGGAGGGAGGAGAGGGGCATCTGTGGTTGGTATGTAAAATGGATAGAACACTTCTTAATAATAAACAAAAGAAAAAAAAAGAAAGCAGGCTGAGCAAGCCATGGAGAACAAGCCAGTAAGCAGTGTTCCTCCAAGGTCTCTGCTTCAGTTCCTGCTCTGATTTTCTTTAATGATGGCTTATAAGCTGTGAGGTGAAAGAGATCCTTTCCTCCCCAAGTTGCTTTTGGTCATGGACCTTATCACAGCAGTAGAAACCTAACCAGGACAGAGATATAATTACATCAATGATGTCCTTTCTAAAATGATTTTTTATTATTTGAGAATTCCACACATACTCATGTTTCATCAAATCTACCCCACATTCCCCCACTATTCCTTCCCAATTTTATGTTGCTTTTTGTTTTGCTTTGTCTTTTAAAACCTCTGAGTCCACTTAGTGTTGTTAGTATGTGCATGGGTGTAGGACTGTCTATTGAAGCATGGGTAGCCTCCCAGGGGACATATCTTGAAAGAAAAACTGACTCTCCCTCTCTCATTGATTGCCAACAGCTTCTCAGTAGGGGGTGGGACTTTGTGACATCTATGCTGGGATTTGTCTGGCTTAATCTTGAGCATGTAGTCAAAGCCACTGTGAGCTCCTACGTGCAGCTGTCCTGTGCTGTCTGGAAAACAGTTTCATTGTAGTCATTCACTACCTTTGCCTCTTACAAGCTTTCCAGTCACTCTTCCACAACGATCTCTGAATTTTGGGAGAAAGTGTGATATCATGTCCCATTTAGGGTTGAAAACTTAGAAGTTTCATATTCTCTGCAAGAGTTATTGATCTCTATGTTAATTGTCTTCTATTGCAAAAGAAGTTTATCTGATGAGGGTTAAGATGTACCAACCTATGGGTATAAAGACAAGTACTTAAGGGAAGGTTTAATGCCATGTCCACTTAGCAGAATGATAGTAGTTGCTTTTCTTTCTCTCCTAGGGTCTAAGACCTACCCAGCTATGAGTGCCTGGCACTGTTAACAGTACTGCTACTGTTCTGTTTTGTGGAGCAGCTCTTAAATCCAATCAGAAAATAGGTTGGTTACTCCCATAACATTCCTATCACTACTGCACCAGTAGATCTTTCCAGGCAATTCATCATAATTCCCCAGAGTTCACAGCTGGGTAAAATTGTTGATTAGTTTATTCCCCTAGTATTGTCAATAACACCTTCTAGCAATATGAAATATAGCCAGTGGTGATGAAGCTTTTAGGTCATTACCAGCTTGTTTTCATGTTTTATGATTCAAGTATGTGGTATCTTCAGCAATAGGATCTTACCATGAAGTTCTGGAAGGTAACCAACAGCAATGGTAATAACCTATAATGAATGGGGTCTATGAGACCTTACTGACCAATAACTTGAAAAGAGGTAGCCCACGACACTGGGCTTTTTATCTGAGTTATTCAGAAGTTTAAGGGTGGTAGGTTGAGGAACTAAGGATATAGCTCGGTTAATAGAGTCCTTGGCTATCTCAGCACTTTAGAGGTTAGAGGCAATAGGATGAAGAGTTCAAAGACATTATAGGTTACACAGACAATCTAGGCTACACAGTGAGTTCAAGACCAACCCAGGTTATACATCAAGATCCTGTATCCAAAAAACAAGAGGGAAGGAAGGAGAGAGGGGGAAATTTAAAGAGTATGAAACTACTGGACATTATTCAACTTTACCTAAAGATCTTATACTTAGGTTAAATCTGATTTTGATCACTGGCAAAACATGCTTAGTCTGCATGTGCCAGGGAATAAGACAAATGGAAATGAATTCGGGCACGAAGGGGATCATGATGTCACTAAATTATAACTGGTCATTTGAGCTGTGGCTCATTCTCCACACAATTTTCTATGATCAAATTTTTACCCCAGTGTTTGAAGCTGCAGCAAGGCTCCAGCAACAAACACTGAAGGGATGATAGAATGAATACATAATATGCTGTCATAGGACAATACCTTGCTGAGTTGTCTTCATGGATAAGCAGGGGAGGCTTATCTGTCAGCTTCTGTGGGGCAAATTGGGGTGAAGGGGAGCGAGAGGTTTCCATGGTTGATGTCTGTAGCTGTCGACACTTGGAAGAGAGCTGGGCTTCTGGCTGAGGGAAAGTTGTATCCTCATTCACATGCTGGCTGTCTCGTGGCTGGGGCACTGCTGAGCACAGAGGGGCTACAAGAGAAGGACAGGTGAATCACACACACATCCGGGACTCAGTAAATGGTGCTAGTGAGGACTTGTTGGGACAGCTAGGTAAGAGTCTGTAGGTGTACTCTCTAGGCTCCAGTACTTTTTGGGCTCGAGATTAGGCAGTGAAGGCTTCTGAGGTGGGGCTGTCTTCTTAAGGAGCCAGGCTGTGCTCACTGGTTACAAAGTGTGCTCCTGAACAGGTAGGGGTGAAGAGGGACCCTGGATTTGGGGGTCCCAAGTCTGACAGTGTGCTCTCCTCTGAGTATGTATATTTTTGAGATAGAGTCCTGGCTTGGTCCAGGCCATCCCTGTGGAGGTTCTGGGTCTTCCTGGGAGTGGAACAATTCTGGCAATGTGGAATTGGCCTGTGGGTTCTCATTCAGTAGGTCCCTGCAATGTTTCTCAAACTGACTTCCTAACACTGGGCATCTGCTTGTCTAGAGGAAGATGTAATAAAAATTAGGCAAGAATTCTGATTAGGATCTTCTCTGTTAGATCATTTTAAGGACTACAAATTTTCTAACACCTGTGCCTACTGCCACTTGTGATGTGGTAACAATCTATAACACATGCTATATATGTTAGGCTATATGTGGAACATGTTCTATATGAAACACGAGGCATTAATGGCACATACATATAGATCTGGCATAGGACACACAAGTATATACCAACTACATTTCTTTAATTAAAAGAAATACACCCCCACAAAAAAGAAAAAAAATCATATTTTTGTGAAAATTGTCAGATCCAAATATATTTGGGACTATTTAATTCAAGTTGTAATATTTTTACACAGCATATGGAAAATGCTTATATATAGGGACAGACCTTTCTAAGATGGGCCAAGAATCAATTCAGTCATAAAACCTTTAAAATAAGACATGACAAATGAGAAAAACAACAACTGCTTATTTTGGAAACAGCTATGACTTACAGAGTTTCCCCTTACACTATCATTTCATATGAACATACATATATACGCATAGGCCACATCCATGACATACATATAGAAGCTGGTCTGGATATATGATTATTCATGTCAAAAGCCTATGGGCTGACTAGCAAATTTATAACAATTCAGTGTGTAGTACCTCTGCCAACAAACCACACCAAACCAATCCCAAGGAGAAAACAAACCTCTGACTTAAGGAAAAGAGCAATTCTCAGTCTAAAATTGACTTTTGAGCTGGGCATGGTGTTTCATGTCATCCCAGTATTTGGGAGGCCAAAGTAGGAAGACTACATCTAGTTAAAAGTCAGACTGGGCTACAAAGTGAGTTGTCTCAAAAACAATCAGTTGACTTTTGAGGGATACAGTATATAGTTCAGTGGTAGGACACTTGCCTAATATGTGCAAGGCTCTAAGTTTGATCAATAGGTTGCGGGGGGGGGGGGGGGGGGTGGAGACACAATACCAAGAAAACTTTTCTACTAACTCAAAGGACAGCATGTATAAGTAGCAATGAGATGATATAACCTAGTCACTGACAAGAGGAATGCAGACCTGTCCCTGTTTCATATCCAGAGTACTTAAGATGCCTCTTTTTACAACCTGGATATGATGCATAATATTTCGGTGTTACAGGTGGGGTCTGAAGGACTATTATACCAGTGTCCTGCCTTGTGGTTGCTAACCCTGCTGTGTTCTGAGGAGAGGAGAGGGGGGAAGGTCCCGTCCTGGGTTAACACATACTCCAGAGTAGAGCACTCTGATGCCCTACATTCCAAAAACAGAGAGCTAAACAACAACGGAGCTAGAAACTGACATCCTAATGACACAGCAGCAGTAAAGACTCATTAAGGGAAATTATTTCCTCTTGCAGAGAGGATGAAATCTCTGGCCTGTGTAGAGAGTTAACATTCCTGAGCTGGCTACTGACCTGGCTAAGGGACTCAAGAGGATGGGTTCATCTTTAAACCATGCTAAGAAAGATAGAAGGAATAGCCTTTTACTTAGACAATGTACTTTTCCTTCCCTGAATTCCTGCTCCCTAGTGTAGTCCCCAAGCTGCTACGATGTTCTGTAGGGTTTGCCTGCCTTAGAAGAGTATAACCTTTCCTTTTGTTGTTGTTTGTTTCTTCTTTTTCAATGCTATCCAGAGCCTAAGTATACTTTCTCTAGTACTTGGGCTTTTTCATTCTTCCTAGGCAGACACTCTACCAAATAAGCTACATCCCATGCCCCTTTTCACATTCTATAGAGCTTTCCTTCACACCATGTGGCTGAGCTCCATACTGGCTTAACTCAATCAGCATGGTTCTTTTTCCTTCTCTCCTCCAGTCTGCCCTTCTGCATAGCTGCTTAGGTTTACAGTTCACCTGCCCTGAGGTTCTTCTTTTAAACTCTAATAAAATTGTCCTCAAGTTTCTGTTTGAGGCCATTCTTAAATTCTTTTATTCATGAGGGGACCCCAATTTCCCTGGTATCACCAAGAAAACAAAACAACTTAGGTCCTCATGAAATGCTTTCCCTAATATTAACTTTCTGAAATGTAGTAGCCATGTGCCCAGCCAAAAGATCCTGGTACTTAGTATTATTTGATAAACAGTCACTGTATTATATAACCAGAATCAAATGAGCTGCAATTTATTGCTAAAATCTAAGTATTGTTAGTTACTCACATGCACACTGGTTAAAAAGGAAACATACTTGCAAAATGACACTGGCTGGGAGGGTTGAAAGCATGCTTTCACACATGCTAAACAAGCACTATACTGCTAAACTATATGAGCAGTTTAGCAATCTCTGATTTCTAATCTCTCATCTCAGACTGAAGTGTCTGAGACTTACTCAGAAACTGAAGAGAACTCATACACCAGAGACAGCTTCACTTGCAAAGAGGGGTTGGTAAATAATGACTTAGGGCAAAAGATACGCTGAGAAAACATGCCTTGAGCTAGACTGGGCTTCTCTCCTGGCTAGATGACCCTCTAGGTTCCTTCTCGGCTTACTCTAGAAACACCCCACGTAGCATTTGAGGGCTCTGTATTTGGCAGAGCAGTGCATAGCAGAGCTCACTTATGCTAGCAGTTTAGTACACAATAATCTACCTAGAAAGTTATCTTCATTCACACTACAATTGACACAACAATTTAATGTACCTTCCCCCAACAATTCCCTTCTCCATTTTTCTTGGCCCTTTTAAACTCCAAGTTTGCAGAGTCAACACTATAAAATCACCAACTGATTTTAGCTGCCCTAGTTAATAAGAATCCAGTAAATCAGGTCACAGATATACATAATAAAAAAGGACCAAAATGTAACAATTTTGAGTTCTGTTGGGACCATATTCAAATCTGTGTATTTTTAATGGTGTTCAAGAGATATATAATGCAGGACAGAGGCTAGTATGGCATGTTTTGTGCTATGTTTGAATGTAGGCATATATTTATAAATAGATGTATATTGTATATGCTATGTATGCTGTCTGTGCGGATGTGTATGTGAATGTACATGTGTGCCAGTAGTGCATATATGTGTATGTGCATATCCATACTCTGTTGTATGTTATATATGTAGATTTATGGCTGTGTATATGTGGCTGCGTCATGCACATACATCCTTTGATTTATACTATTTTTCTAAATCAGGGTCTCACACAGTACATAACTATTGATGCAAAACCCACAATTCTCACCTAAAAGGGAATAAGAGATAGCTTATTCAGGGGCCATATTTGAGTAACTGTAACCCAGGAACACAGGTTTAGGTTGCCCCGAATTCCATGTTCAAATATGGAAGAAGATTTATAGTTTTACCAAACAAAGAAAGTCATACAAGGCAAGTTTAAAATACACTTGGTGTGTACACCAGAGGTGGTTACAGAAAGATGGGGGGATTTTTCCTATAGGCCTGAGATGTTATCTGATGACATTCTTAGTTTTGGGATGGTAGAAGCTAATGGTCCACTAAGTGAATAGATTCCAAAGGTTTTAATCTATTAGTCACAAGATATTCCAACACAGAGGTAGACAAGAAATGGTTATTCACAGGGCTAAAGCTAGTCCAAGTGAAGTAGTCCAACATCTTCATATTACTGCAGTTTTAAACAGCCAATTAGCCTGTACAAACACAGCTTCTCTCCAGGAATTTTCATTGATACTATGTTAGCCTCAAACTTACCATCCTTCTGCCTCAGCCTCCCAAGTGCTGAGATTAGGCACGTACCACCTTATCTGGCTTTTGGTGGGGATAACTAGGAAATGAACCCAGGGCTTTATGCATGCTAGCATGTGCCCTACCACAGAACTATATCCTTAGCCCCCTTTTTTTATTTTAAGACAGGGTCTCAGTAAGTTGTTCAACTTGTCCTTTAATTCATCCCATAGCCCAAGTAGGCCTTGCACTTGTGATCTATCAGCTTCAGTCTGTTGAATAGCCAGGCTTGTCCATTTTTCATTCATTTGAAATAAAACACAAGTGACAAAAGGCCTATAATCTTGGCACTTAGGGGGGCAGAGATAGGAGGATCAGGAGACCAGGAGTTCAGGGTTATCCTTTGATTGCATAGTGCGTTCAAGTAGCTTGGGCAATATGGCGATCCTAAGAAAGGGAAGGCAGCAAGGGAGGCAGGAGTGAGGGATGGATGTCCAGAGACAAAAATAATATAATATAATAAGATGACTAAGGACTTTGTTTCCTCGTGTCAGTATGTTACCCTGAGAATAATACTGGAGCAGGAAGTGCAGCCAAAGGAAGGCTGCAAAGGCAACAGCATCCCAGAGTCCTGGCAACTGCTATTCAGGCTGGGTATGTGGTTCATTCTCATCTAAAACATACCAATAACTAGTTACCAAAAAATGCATCAGTTCTAAGGTGTGAAGGGGGCTCTAAGCAGAGGTGCCAGAGACCTGCAATGGGTGCTACCAGGCATGCAGTTATCACTAGACACCCACCATACAACCAAGGTGGTAAATGATCTAGAACGGGATTACAGAGTCTAACAAAGTTCACCTAAAGAGGACAAGGACATTGCAAG